TTGGTTCCTTATAAAGAGGAGGGGCATTTGTCATGTTTGTTCTTTGGTGAATCTACATTTCCTTCAATTCAGGATCTTCTCAAGACAATGTGTTGTGAACTTGGCAAGGCGTTAGTTTTTACAAACCGCCCAGGCGGCTTTGCCTTTCAGACATTATTTGCTAATTAGTCTCAGGTGTCAAGTGAAGGGACAACACACTTCTCTTTTCCTCCACTGTAGATTTGAGAATTCCATTGTGTATCCGCGTTTCTGACTATGGCAATGCGCCTTGGGGGTGCGGTAGGGCCAGCACTGGGCTGCTAACCACGAGGTTCTAGGCCCACCAGGGGCCACACAAGAGAAAGACGAGGCTCCTTGTTCCCTTAAAGCAGTGGTTCTCAACCTTCCTAATGCCGTGACCCTATCATACAGTACCTTATGTGGTGGTGACCCCCAACCATAAAATTATTTTCGTTGCTACTTCATCACTGTCATTTTGCTACTGTGAATGAATCAGGTGACTACTGTGAAAGGGTTGTTCAACCCCCAAATGGGTCGCGACCCACAGGTTGAGAATCGCTGCCCCAAAGATTTGCAGCCTGGGAAACCCTCTATAGGCTCACTACGAGTCAGGCTCACCTCCATGGTAGTGGGTTGTTACTTTATCTCTGCGATAACTACAAAATACACCTGAAATGGTTTCCCTCGTTGCATTCATAATAACCTTTAAAAAAATAATAATCTCATGCAGAATGTTACCTGTTTTAATTGTCTTTGTAATGCAGTGTGATTAAATACTTGGCCTGTGAAATTTAGGCCCTTGATTGGCAGGTAAATCCGAGCATAAGTAAGTATTTTTGTTCTTTAGGGAGCCCATAGCCTTTGATGATCCAATAGGTGTTTCAAAGGCCAGGGATTAGAGACCAATAGCGGAAGGGTGGCCGACTATCTTAAAAGGAGCAAGAGTTACCGCTGTTAGGTGTCGCTGAGTGGGCTCATAGTGATCTTCGATCATAGAGACTTTTTGAGACTGAAATGTTTATGGGGCAGATAGTTTCATCCTTCTCCTGAGGAGGGACTGGTGGGGTTTGAAGAGCCAACAGCAGAAGTTGGGGCTCATTGTTGCGGCCACAATGGCAGTCCACTGGTTGAGGGTCTTCCTCTTTTTTCAGACCCTCTACTTTACCAAGCATGATGCCCTTCTCTAGGGCTTGGTCTCTCCTGATACTATGTCCAACGGAAGAGACGTCTCACCCTCCTGGCTTCTAAGGAGCCTCCTGACGATACTCCTTCCAAGACAGCTTTGCTTGTTCTAGCAGTCCACAGTGCTTCCTGTGTTCTTCCCCAGCGTCTTAGCAAATGCGCCAGCTCTGGTGTGTGGTCTTCCTTCCTAACAGCAGACAGAGGGATGGACAGCTCCCTGGCTTGGGGCAGCTATCATGTAGTCCTCAACGTTCCGGGTTTGATCTTTACTCTTTTAAATAGGTCTTGTGCCGACATTTGTCCAGGGCGATGGCTTGTTTGATTTCTCGATGGCCGCTTCTGCGAGTGTGGCAGATCCAGACACAGTGAAATCCTGGACGACCTCAATCTTTTCTTCTTATCATGGTGCTGCCTATTGGTCCAGTTCTGAGGATTTTTCTTTTAAAGGGGTATGGAGTGAGACCTTTCACACTCACTATAAATACCCCCTCCTCTCGTCTCCTCTTCTTTTGCTATGGATATACTTGAAGAACCATATGTGATATTTGTCACTTCACGTTCACAACGCGCACTGCCAGGGACTTGGTTTTGGCTCATAGCTACCCTACCAGTCAAGGTGAAAGTGGTCTTTATGGGAGCAGCCACCTTCCCTTTCTCTCAAGGTGGATTTGAATGAATGATCTGGTGGTGAACCCAGCGCCTCATCAGGGCTTCTGAAGAGGCCTGTGATAGGGGATATTTCTGTGGAGTGGATGTCGTGTGAACACCATATTACAAACCTGGAGGGAGCCCACGGCCCGTGGTCCTGTTAGGTTGTTGTTGCTGTTGCTGCTGCTGCCCTTGCCACCCCTATTCCTCTGCCAGCTGGACCAAGTCTGAGAGCCAGTGTGCAGAGCCCTGTCCTTTGTCTCATAGCCTTTACTTCCCTACCCAGGTCCAGGTCCGGTGCTGTGGAAACTGAGGTTGGGGTCTGAGTTAGTTAATTGTGCCAGCCTGGCCGATAATCACATGTGGTGCTGGTTGAAAGGCGGAGGGATAAATGGGTGGTGAAGCCTCGCCTTTCTAGTTCTCGGGTCTCTTGTTTTGTGATGGTTGCATCGGGTGCAGCTGCCTTGGTAGTTCCCTGCTTCAGCTTGCAGGATTGACTTCCTGCGGGACATCCCCAAGGAGAAGCCGCATGGATCTATCCCGATGCAGCCCTGGGTGCTGGAGCAGCCGTGTGGAGACCCCTGCCAGGGCTGAGATGCTTGCACGTTCACTGGCTCAGCTTTCCTCCTGGAGTCGGCATTATTGCCTCTGTTTTGTGGGGTGAAGGACTTTGTGGACTGGTGTTGGGTTAATGGGTTAATGTTGGACTTGTGGGCTTGGGCGGCATTGGGTTGGGATGTTTTCGTGATGCACATTTTCTTTACATAAAACTCTCTCTTATACATGAGTTGCTGTGGATTTGTTTCTCCAAAGTACCTAGACTAATACAGGGTCTTTCACACTTCTTAGGGGGGAATAAGAAACACGAGGAGAGCTACTTCCCCCTCCTCCTCTTCAGAGCACCCAGCCCTTACACGACTAGATGTGTATGTGGTTGGGCAAGCGTTCATGTCTCGTGCTTGTATCGAGTTCTTGAGAAGCTTCCCCTCACAATGTAAATTTCACAGTCCATTGGTGATAGACAAATGTTCGCCATGCCAACCGTCATTCAAGAAAAACACGTCTTCAGCCCTCCTAGCATGTTGGAAATGTCCTGAGGATGACGAGAGACGGAGAGAAGGTGGGGAACATGCTCTCTGGGTTTGTCCAAGCTCTGTGCCAATCTGTTTCCTGCCAGGGGGGCATTCCGCCCTGGACTGGTTTGCTTTGCTTCTGAGAGAACCAATCAGGTGATCCGCTAGCCAATTTGATCGGCTCTCCTCTCCCCAAATCCTGATGTGCTAAGTATTCACAGAGGTGGTAAGAGGCTAAGCAGCTTCACTCAAAATCCTCTACCATCATGACCTGGCTTTTGTTTCACTCTTTTCAAAACGTATGATAAACTCAGACTGGTGTATTTTTATTGCTTATTGTATGAAAATCTCAGAAATATTTCCCTGTTGTCCTGGAAACTCTTGTTTTCATGCCTTTTCAGTGGTCGCTACTATTTCCTCGAGTTCAGATTATTACGTTGCTTTGTTTCATAGAAAGTTTACAAAGAGAATTTTGAGAAGGAAATGAAAGGACGAGCGTCGCTGGATTTAGACAAGACTCCAGAATATTTGCACGTGAAGTACATCACCGGCCTTCTGAAGGAGGTAGGCTCCTGCTGTTGGTGATCAGATCCCTCCAGAGAGAAGTAACTAGATAAAGGGAAGCATTTATTCTTAACGCGTCTCAATTAGTCCCGTGTTTATATTATTAAATTAACCCGCTTCCTCTGACCTGGCCCTTAGGTTTTCATTAAAAGTAGAGAAGTGTGTATTATTGTTCCAGTTAAAGTTTCAGGAAGAATGTTCCAGCTTTTCCAGAAGATTTATGTTCTGATTTTGTCTTTTGGTTATTGCTTAGAATTTTTAAAAATAAATAATGTTATACCTTCATGGGATTTAGTGGGAAAAAGTATTTTGAATGTGGGCAGGGCAACTTTGATTCTTGCAAGTTGAGGTATTACAGAAATGCATTTTAGAACTAGCTCTTTCCCCAGATGTTCTGTGGACATTTGATACCAGCAATGAGAAAGTCTGGAAAAAACGTGCATAATTTATAAAAGATTTGAGTTCTAATACATTTAGTATACAGAATATAAGAACTCGTGCTCATTTTTCATTTTAATTTATTCTCGGGAGAATTTTACTTTCAAATTTAAAGGTGCCCCAGGGTTCACAATTTATATATTAAAATTGATGAAGAGTAAGCCCTCAAATTTAGCACTTAAATATAACATGCTAACAGTTCATCATTTAAAAGTATTCTTTAATGACTAAAAGGTATCTTGGGTCTCTTCTGATCTGCTGTAAATTAGAAAACTATGTCAGATGACTTCAGGTCATTGTGAATCTTTGAGCTGAAGAAACAGTTACGGAATCCATTGTCTTAAGCCAGTGGAATCCATTGGATTGTAATTATCCACAGAGTCGTGTGATCCTGAGTTTCTTTAATAAGAAGATGACAGTTGGCCATGATTAGTGAATTGCTTTTCAAAAGCCAATATGAATCACTGTTGCAGTGTACGATAAGTTCGCCACAAGAGGCTTGTAGCTTCTGAAAGCGTTTTCTGGCTACCATCTGGATTTCTCGATATCGGCTCCTGTACAGTTTTTGAAAGCTTAAACATTGTCAATCAAGGAACAAGGTCAGGAAACAGAACCATCTACAGTCTTTCTTTGGGGGACCCTTGAGTTCAAGTCTAGTTGAATTTTTTCCCCTACTGGTAATAACAAGGTTAATAGTGATATATATTTTTTCTATTTGAGCCAAATGTAGCTATCATTTTTTTAAAAGGTGCACTATTCCTATGATTTTTTAAAAAAGAGGATAGTGTCCTCATTTACATACAAGTGACAATGTGACCTTTATGTTGAGGTCGATGAATAACTTGAATATCCATGCTGTTGCATTTTCCCTTTATTCTTCTTCTAGAGTGGGCCTTAAGGATACAGAATCAAGATAGGAAAAGACCCAGAAGACTATGATTAAACATCTTTTAATTAAGCTAGAGAGATGCCTGATTTGAAACAGGGTTTCTCGGTGACTTAAAGAAATTGTGTCACTTCTCTCTCTTATGTATGAGCGTTTAGCTTGAAATTGACTTTATGAAGGGTGTCTCTTCATGGCTTTTTACATTTACATTACCATTTGAGAGCATTCAGAGGATCATTTTGTGCTTCATTTCATTTGATTCTCCAAATTGCCCTTGGACACCGGCAGAGCAAGTTTTTATTTCCATTTTGCCCGTGTGAAAATGAAGGCTCCGTTCTTTAAAGTCCTGCTGCAGGTTCCATGAGCATCAGTGAAAGGACTCTGACTTCCACCAGGCCCTTTGACTCCAGAGCCTTTCCCCAAATCATATGGAATAGCAAGTAGGCTCTTAGTTAAACAGTGGACCAGCTGATTGAATTATGCTGGAAAAAAGGAAAAGAGCATCAGATGAACCCTAGAATTAACTGGGACAGGACTTCTTCCCAGTAAAGGATCCTTCCTTCATCTTCCATCTGGCCAGGTACTTATAAATGCAACTTAGTTGGATGGGAGTAAGTTTTATATTGCACTCCTTATATGATTAGTTAGAAAAATGATTGCAAAATTAATAAGAAAAGTTAGATATCAAAATTAACAAAGACATTTGGAGCTACTTAGTCAAATATTAAGAGAGGCACAATTCAACGCTATGTTATCAATCTGTAGAGAATTTCTTGCTTTTTCATGTTTTCTAGTATAATGGAATCTTTAAAAACCAAAACCAAACCAAATCACCTGATTACATCAATCCTTTTAATTTGGTAATTTTTTTCAATGATGCCTTTGGCAATTCATGTTTTATAGACCTGGTTCAAAGCTATGTTTCAATGAATTAATAAGAAGCATGTACTCCTAAGATTTCCCTATAATCCCAACATAGTTCCAAAACATATTTGGGGGAAAAAGGATTAGATCAAAGAGATTGATGTTTTGGAAGCCACTCTAAATATTACTAGGGAGGAAATGAAGCCTACCAAGAAAAGGAAGAGCCTGACAACCCAACCCAACAAATCTGAGTCATTCCTTTTAGAGGGAACCCCC